GGCATGGCATTGTTAAGAAGGTTTGAGTGGACTGCATGCCAGATCAGAGAAGACAAGGGTGTAACCCCAAGACAACCAGGCAAGTCACTTCAGAGTGAGCTCATTGCACACGGAAGCATTCCTTCCTGTTCATATATATCAGCAGCAAGACATCACAGAAAATGTAAGCAGTTTACCTTTTTATCCCAGGAGTGCAAAGTAGAGTATTGGCTTGGATCTCTGACCTGCAGGATAGACCTCAAACAATCCTTGAAGCCTTGATTTCCATGGGGAAAGAAGTAAAACAGAGGAGATACCAAAATGCATTGAAATGAGTTTATTAAAGACGCTATGCAACACAATTTCTGTCACTCGTCTAAATTTTAGAAGTTTTTCTTCTAAAGAATTTTTTTTTAAAAAAAATTGATAAATGCAGGTGAGAAAGCAAAAAAATATACTGTATTTGGATCCCAGTTGCTGCAGGGCTACTTCTGCCAATGAGCCCCTCCTTCTAATCGAGTGTCAGTCCAAGAAACAAAGCAAGTAGTGATGGCAACACACTCACCTGACTCTCTCCACAGTCTTGCACATTCATCCCACTCACTTGGTTCTCCTTGACTCTCTCTGCTGTTCACCCAGCTTTGGCAAAACCTGAAGGGGGAAAAAACTGGGCTCCAAACCTACAGGCTGTATTGTTGTTTGTTGTCCCTGTGACCAGCATATTCAAGGGCAAGCAGCAGAGCAGGGGAGAGATTTGGCACAGGGCCCCAATTCAGAGAGGGAGCACATTTCTGATCAGGGCGCCACAGGTGTCGTCTCTCCAGAATGAAGGGGATTGGATTAAGCATGTTTATTGAAACATGTGGACCTAAATCCAGCATTAGCCCTACCTTTAACCAGGCTCACTGGAATGAATGGAATTTGCTAGTTATCACTAACAAGTCCCTTTCATTTAACAGTTTTGCTTCAAGCAGTACGAATGGTGAACTTAACCTGGGGCTAATGTTTAGGTTCATCCCTAAAATACAAAGGTTTGAGTGGACTGCATTAAACTACGTAGTACCGTAAGTCCCATTCATAAATTCAACTGAGCCACAATCAGCTGTTCAGTTGTTTTTTTTCTGTCACTTCATTCAGGTTAGCCATCATAACTTCTATGTCTCACCTTCATAAGTGTGTCTGTGAAAGACAGTTGATGGGGAACACAAATAAGAAGATTCTATTCTACTCATCCTGCTTGTGGGTTTCCCACTGGTGTCTGGTGGATCAATTCACCAGGGATCTTATATTTTCATGTAATCTCACTCATAGAGTATGGTAGTTTTGTCTCATTTATTGCTAGCAGAGGGAGGGAGGGAGGGAGGGAGGGATTGAGAGAGAGAGAGAGAGAGAGAGAGAGAGAGAAAGAAAGAAAGAAAGAAAGAAAGAAAGAAAGAAAGAAAGAAAGAAAGAAAGAAAGAATTGGCATTGTTAAACTAGGTTGACTGCATCCAGCAAGTGCACAGAGGAGAACATCCCTCAGATCACCTGTCCTGGGTCCCTTTTATTTTGCTGATAATTCTGCTTTGACAGGAGTGTGACAGGTAACATGTATTTCTCCTGCCAACTACTTTCACAGGTGCTTACTTTGGCACATGCTAATCTGAATTAACACATAATTTCTAAAGTACATTATCACCTGTTCTTGTCAGTCTGAAGTACATGTGATATGCAGCCAATTTCCACTGGTAACGTTGAGAAATTAGTTCAGACATTTTTTTTCAGGGTTGTTCTTTATAAATTGGTTGCTCAGCTCCAAGAATCATCACGCTGCTGAGAAATGGCACTGAATAGACAAGCAAGGTTTATCAATTCACCAGGGATCTTATATTTTCATGTAATCTCACTCTATATGGTAGTTTTGTCTCATTTATTGCTAGCAGAGGGAGGGAGGGTGCCATATATTCAGTGCCATTTCTCAGCTATATACAAATATTTTTAAAGAATTAAATGAGTATCATATTTAAAATGATAAATAAAATCAATATTAAAACACATTTAAATATGCTGCAGAAAAAACACATCCGGAGACAAGTACAGGCAAAGAACATCACACCCACATCCACAGCTGACGAGGCTGCTGGATGGAAACTGAGTACTGAATTAAATCGTCTTCACTGAGACGTTGACTGCATCCAGCAAGTGCACAGAGGAGAACATCCCTCAGATCACCTGTCCTGGGTCCCTTTTATTTTGCTGATAATTCTGCTTTGACAGGAGTGTGACAGGTAACATGTATTTCTCCTGCCAACTACTTTCACAGGTGCTTACTTTGGCACATGCTAATCTGAATTAACACATAATTTCTAAAGTACATTATCACCTGTTCTTGTCAGTCTGAAGTACATGTGATATGCAGCCAATTTCCACTGGTAACGTTGAGAAATTAGTTCAGACATTTTTTTTCAGGGTTGTTCTTTATAAATTGGTTGCTCAGCTCCAAGAATCATCACGCTGCTGAGAAATGGCACTGAATAGACAAGCAAGGTTTATCAATTCACCAGGGATCTTATATTTTCATGTAATCTCACTCTATATGGTAGTTTTGTCTCATTTATTGCTATGCTAGCAGAGGAGGGTGCCATATATTCAGTGCCATTTCTCAGCTATATACAAATATTTTTAAAGAATTAAATGAGTATCATATTTAAAATGATAAATAAAATCAATATTAAAAACACATTTAAAAGCAACAGAGCACGACGATCTAGCAAGCACTAAGGAAAAGTCTACCTGAAGAGGAAGGTCTTGGTCTACGTGCAGAAGGACAGCAAAGACGGGGCTCACCTGGCCTCCAGTGGGAGGGAGTTCCAAAGTCTGGGAGCAGCAAAAGAGAAGGCTGCCTTCTGTGTCCCCACCAAACACACCCATGAGTGAGGTGTGATGGAAAGTCCTTCCATGATGGTAGGCTCCTGCTCAAGGGTCAGAGCAATGTTCATCCAGAGATTTACTTTAGCATTCCATTGGTTTTTCCTACTTTCTTCATTTTAAGCTTGAGTTTTGCTAAAAGAAGCTGATGATCAGAGCCACAATCAGCTCCAGGTCTTGGTTTTGCTGACTGTATAGAGCTTCTCCATCTTTGGCTGCAGAGAACCAAATAAAATCTGATTTCGGTATTATGCTGCAGAAAAAACACATCCGGAGACAAGTACAGGCAAAGAACATCACACCCACATCCACAGCTGACGAGGCTGCTGGATGGAAACTGAGTACTGAATTAAATCGTCTTCACTGAGACGATAGATAGTTCCTAATGCTCTAAAGATGATCTGCAGAATCTGTAGTCTTTCTGTCCAAGAGTATTAAGGAGATCACATTCGGTACCATGAGCTGAAGGATTCTTTCTTGCCATCCCTAGCAAATTAGATCCTTAATTGCACATGCCAGCGGCCAGAATACTGTACTCTGCTCAAGGTTGCCTGGAAGCTATACTCTCGAAACTTTCTTTGCTCTTTCCTGTACTTTTAAACTACCTTGCCCAGCACAATATAACTAGAAAGGGATGAGAAAGAAACTCTATCTCTCATTCTGATTCCCTGATTTACCTTATAGGGATTTGGATGGGTGGCGGGTGAAGATAAAAGGGGAAGGTGGACTATTACGGTGGCCTATGGTCATAGGTTGAAAAGCCCCCCCCCCCAAATCGACATTTGAAAGGAATGATGGCAAAGGATTAACCCCACCTAATATGCATATGAGGGCTCCTATGTCTGCAGTTTATATTGTGGAGAAACTGCCATTGGAGCAAATGGTGTGTGTGTGTGTGTGTGTGTGTGTGTGTGTGTGTGTGTGTGTGCGCGCGCGCGCGCGCGTGCGTGTGTGTAAGACAGACAGATACACAGACAAAGAACAAATATATATCTCAGGATACTGATGCCATAAATTGTTTCTGAGCAGGAGCACTCTATCTGAGCAATGAGAACTTGCTCAGTGGTAGCTACCATCAGTGGGTTGGAACTACAGCGCCAGGGCTTGCTTGAGAGTTCATGGAAGAAAGGCCAGTCTGTATAGCCTTGGGCAAGCTTAGCAGACCCTTAGCAGTACCATTCTGCACATGCTGAGAGGCGAGTCCAACATATAACCTCAGATTCCCAGCGCTGAGGCCTGACATTAAAGACAGATAGTTGCCAACACTGAATAAAGGAGGGGCAAGTGGTAAGCTACCTCAGTGGGTCGCTCAGTGGGGTTGGAGCACCTGGGGCTGCGAGTTCGATTCCCCACTGAGCCTCCTGGGAGAGCAGCCAGACTCTGTGTGTGTGTGTGTGTGTGTGTGTGTGTGTGTGTAGCCTTTGGAAAGCTGCAACATCCCAAAGCACCAGTAGAAGGAAGGAGTGGCAGATTGCCAGAGTCCCCCTGAGGGCACAATAGCGAATAATCAGCCACTTGCCCCCTGATTTCTATGAGACAGAATTCCTCCAGAGTTGCTTCCCAGTCCACAAGCTTGGCGTGGAACCGTGTGACTGCAACTCGAAGCCAATTCACTCCGTCTTATTTACGCCCGAGTAAACAAGCTGAGAAAGGATCGGGCAGAAGGACTGACATGCAAGGGCGGATCTGCTAAAACTCTTCAGAGCGCTTAATCCCAGAGGGGCCCCAGAAACTGTTTTAATCAACGTTTGTGTAAAAAAAAATTATTCAGTATAGTGATCTCTCCTGGACCAACCCCACTGAAGACGATAACGGTGGTTATCGAGACCTTATTGCTGATTGCGAAGGGCCCCCGTAACAGTTCAAAATGTAGGTCCGCCACTGCTAACGCGCAAACCAGAGCCGACTTCGGTGGCTTTGAGGGCTACTTGAACTCCGCGCCTTTTACTCCCGAGCAACCATCCTCAGACTTGGTCTCTCAACTTGCCAGTGGCTCTTCAGCTTTCTTCACCACACCCCCTTCAGTCCGGATTAACGAGCCCGGTACGGGACACACACACCCGCCCCCAAGGCTGTTAGTTATTCTGTAAATCTTTGCGGTTCACAGTGCCCCAAATAAACCCCGGGGAGGGAGTTTGTCTGTAATCCGATTCCAGGCATCGAGGGGGGCCCCCGGGCTTTCCACTGGCGCTTTCCCGCTGTTGTGGCGCGGGGAGGGGGCGACGGCGGTGGTAGTGCCTCGCCGCCTTGATCCGGCCAGCCTCAGACGACTCGCAGGGTTGGCGGCAGCGGCCGCCGCCGGCCCGCATTACAATATAAGCTTCGCAGGCGGCTGCAAGGAGCCTCTCGCTGCCCGGCGAGCCTGACATGCTGTCCCGGTGCTCCGGCTTTCGCCTCAGAGGCTGACACAGATCTCGAGGAACCGGAGGCTGCCGCCGGCGCGCCACTGAGGGAGCGCAAACCGGTGCGGGACTCAGGAGACAAGACGGCGCGCGTCCAGAGCTCGGTAGGAACCCTTGACGGGGACGTACTGGACAAAAAGGGCCCGTGGGGCTGTTTGGACCCTTCGCTCACGAGCCTGGCATTGCTCTTGCCTTTTGAAAAGTCAGCCCGAAGTTCAACAGGTGCGGCTTTTACCCCCGACGCGGCGGTGTTGTGCGCACCGTCGCCCATATGGTCGGGTTGAGGCTTTGCCGTTGAACCTCTATCCTGCCCCCGGCAGCGCGCCTGTTTCTTTGATCAGGCAGGAATCCACCGGGTGCGGTTTTCCATAACAGAGAGAAGCAGCTGTCCCTGTTTTTTGTCCAAGGCAGGCACAGACACTGTCGGGGTCTGGTGGGAGGGTTGTGGGGTGGTGGGGCGGGGGATCACGCCGCTCGCGATGTAACGAAAAGGCGCTCCGTGGCCGGGAAAGTTGACTGGGAAGTTGATGGGGGAAAGTGAGGGCTGCGTGTAGGTGATGGCATATGTGGGTTTGGTGCCTTGGGGATGGGGGAAAGTGGGGGCTGCGTGTAGTTGATGGCATATGTGGGTTTGGTGCCTTGGGCGATGGGGGTGCCCCCTGAGATTTTGGGGCGAGGCGGAATTTTTTCTGCTAGGGGTTGGCAACTGGCGAACCAGATGCTCATTCTGCCTCCACCACCACCACCCCCCGCGTGACACCCGCTCTACGCCAAGGATCTTGCCCTCCCCGCACACCTTCAAACTTCTCGCTCCGCGATGTGACCCATTGAGCCAAGGCAACGGAGAAAACTCCCGATACAGCCTTGGCACCACTTCGCGAGAGGTAAGCAGGAAAAACGAAGCCCCGGGTCGTAGTGATGAGTAGCCAAAATCCTCCACCCCCCCATCACCTCCTTTGCCAGCGAGGAAGGAAAGGGTTAAAGGGCTCTTCGCGGACACCCCGCCCCGGACTCGCCCGACTGAGTCACGGGGCGAGGCGTTCCTTCGCTGGCCTTTCGGCCTTTCTGCTTAAGGCAAAATCCTCTCTCCCCTCCTGCCGCTTAAAAAGCTGGTTGAGTTAACCAGCCGTCTAAAGCGAGATAGGAACCGAGGTGATCAGGAAGAGAAGGAGCAGCTTTGATCAAATGCATTAGCTAGCCCGAGGCTTGGATTGCCGAACCATAAAACACGCCTTTCCCCATCATCCCAAAATGGTACCTAAAGTTGTATTTGGCACATCCTGAGAAGACAAGACTTGCTGGAAAAGACCATAATGCTGGGAAAAGTTGAGAGCGGCAGGAAACGAGAATGACCAAATATGAGACGACTTGACTCAATAAAGGAACCGACAGTCCTGAGTTTGCAAAAGCAGAGCAGTGGCTTTAGATAACAAGGGATTGTCAGAAGACAGGATGAACTCTCTATGCCCTATACTTGCAGAACTGCTGATGGAGAGTTTAGTGCTGCGGTAAACACTGTGGGGACCTTCAGATGTTGTTAGATTCCCATCAACCTCTTACCCATCCTTCTGTTAAGGCATGATGAAGGATTGCCACTGATGGCATATTGTTGAATAGTTTTTATAATCAAAACTTTCCAGAATGGACTATGATTCACCTTAGCTATTAACAGAATTATCTCAGTTTGAGCTTCCATGGATCACAATATACTATCTGTGCCAGCTCACACTGAAGCACATCTATTTGCCTTTAAGGAGCCACAATACTTGGTGTTTTGTTCTTATTTTTGTCATTGCTGTATGTGGTGAAAGAGACAGACATAAGCGCCTCTTTGAAAAAATGTTTGACAGGATGAATATTATAAGAAAGTGCCAAAAGTATATATATATACTCTCTCTCTCTCTCTTGCCCTCACACTTTCCCAACATAGCTTTGACTATGCAGACCTTTGTTGGCAAGGTGATGTCTCTGTTTTTTAAGATGTTGTCTAGTGATGTCTCTGCTTTTTAAGATGCTGTCTTTGTTTGTCATCGCTTTCCTCCCAATAAGCAATCGTCTTTTAATTCCATGGCTGCTGTCCCCATCTGCAGTGATCATGGAGCCCAAGAAAGTAAAATCTTTCACTGCCTCCATATCTTCCCCTTCTATTTGCCAGGAGGTGATGGGACCAGTGGCCATGATCTTGGTTTTTTTGATGTTGAGCTTCAAACCATTTTTTGTGCTCTCCTCTTTCACCCTCATTAAGAGGTTCTTTAATTCCTCTTCACTTTCTGCCATCAGAGTGGTATCATCTGCCTATCTGAGGTTGTTGATATTTATCTTAATTCCGGTTTGGGATTCATCCAGTCCTGCCTTTTGCATGATGTATTCTGCATATAAGTTAAATAAGCAGGGAGACAATTTACAGTCTTGTTTCACTCCTTTCCCGATTTTGAATCAATCAGTTGTTCCATATCCGGTTCTAACTGTTAGGTTACATATAGGTTTCTCAGGAGATAGATAGGGTGGTCAGGCACTCCCATTTCTTTAAGAATTTGCCATAGTTCGTTGTGGTTGACACAATTAAAGGCTTTTGCGTAGTCAATGAAGCAGAAGTACAGTAGATGTTTTTCCGGAACTCTCTGGCTTTCTCCATAATCCAATGCATGTTAGTTATACAGTGGTGCCTCGCTTAACAGGCGGCCCATTTAATGACGAATCAGCATAGCGACGGATTTTTTGCAATCGTTTTTGCGATCGCATTGCGATGTTTCTGATGGGAAAAAATTGCTTTGCGATGAGCGGTAAGCTGTTTCGCTTACTGATTTTTGCATAACAATGATTTCCCAACAGCTGATCGGCGGTTCCAAAATGGCCGCCGGGTAAAAAAAATGGCCGCCCGCTGTGTTTTCGCCCGGATTCCTCGCTTACCAGGCAGCAAAAATGGCGGCCGTATGGAGGATTTTCGCATAAAGTTGAGTTTTTTGCCCATAGGATTTTAATGCATTCCTATGGGCTTTTTTATTTCGCATAGCGACGAATCTGTATAGCGACGATTTTGGCTGCACGGATTATCGTCGCTATGCAGGGCACCACTGTATATATATTACTTAAAACCAAATATAATGCTCTCTATGTGGGGCTTCCTTTGAGACTGATACAAAAGCTCCAGATGGTCCAGAACATGGCAGTCAGGCTGTTAACAGGGGTGGAAAGATTTCACAATTCCCCCCCCCCACCCCACCTTGGCCGCCTTACACTGGCTACCTATCCGCTTCTGCATTGATTTCAAGGTGCTAACCATTACATACAAAACCCTTAATGGTGCAGGCCCTCGATGCCTGGCAGAGCGCTTTCTTCTGCCCAGTTCTACCCATATCACCTGCTCCAGTCAGGCTGGGCGGCTAAGGGGCCTAACGCCAAGAGAGGCCCGGTGGGAAAAAACTAGAAATCGGGCCTTCTCAGCAGTGGCCCCTCGCTTCTGGAACAAATTACCTGTAGAGATCCACCTGTTTCCCTCGCTGAGGGCCAACTAACCTAAAGACATGGCTATACAGGCAGATCTTCCCTACAGCCATTACCTAGCTTATCTTCCTTTTCCTTTTTCTTTCTCTCTCTCTTTCTTCTTTTTTCCTTTTCCCATCTTGGACTTTGTGATTAATTTGGATTTTAACTCAGTTTATTTTTATGTTATATGTAAACCGCCCAAAGTAGACATGTTCTAGATGGATGGCATATACTGTAAATCTAATGAATGAATGAATGAATGAAATGAAATGAAATGAGGATTCCTTATGTTAACCTTTTTCACGATCCAGGCTTGTGTCAGAAATGGTTTACAGGTTCATGGTGAAACTGTATGCAGACTGAAGCAGTAGCATCCTTGAAGTCTAATTTTAATTTTTAAAACGATTCAGTGCTGGCATTAACTTTTAAACTCTAAATGGCTTGTGGCCAGCTTCTTTTAAAGCCTTTTTTCCTCCTAGATGCATCTTTCCAGATCCTTGGATTACATTCAGTGGGCCTTCTCTGGGTTCTCCTGACAAAGACATTGAGACAGGTTGCTATAACAAGAAGTGCCTTTTTTAGTGGTGGCACCCTTGTAGGGAATGCTTTCCTAAGAAAAGCTCCTCTAGCTCTTAGGCTACAGTCTTTGTGGCCCTTCCTTAGGCTTTTCAAGGTTTTTTTTAAAAAATACATTTAATGCTGTTATTGGTTTCACTCTAGTGCCATTTACACTGGTTCCTAATTTTGTTTGTTGTGCATTGTTTATATTTTATGGCTTTTTTTAGTACTTTGCAGAGAATGAATGGTTAATGGACAGTATAAAGCACAGTAAATAAATATAAAGAAATACATTCTTATAGATTGTGCCGACTGCCCTTTTTAAAAAAAGGGATCAATCAGCCCCTTGCTCAGAAGGTAGATTCATAATCAAATACTTCAGAAGGAACTAGTTAAAGGGAGTTTACTCACTCAGATGCTTTGAGTACAGTGATTTGATTGCATTAACAAGTGTGCCACCTTCAATTGTTAAATTTGGGTCTGTCCCCTGTGGAGTCAATGAAGGAACATTTCCTTTAGTCCTGGCAAATTACTAAGCCAACAAGGAATTTAATAAGGTCTGGCAAGATTTGGGTTTGCTCTGAAGTTGCTCTTAGACAATAATAATAGTCTTAGAACTGCAGAGCTGGAAGGGGCCCTATGGATCATCAAGTCCAACCTATGTCAAGGAAGCACAGTGAGGGAATGAATTCCCAACCTCTACCTAAACCACTGAGCTATCCACCAGGCCTTTGGTGCTTTCATTATAGAGAAAAAAAATCATAATTTAAATTATCAATTTTTGTTGCTGCAGTTTATTTTTTAAACTAAAAATACTTGATTTGCACAATATTTATGCACCCATCGTGACATTAGTCCATCTATTATAGTATTTATTAAAGTCATTTGTCTTCTATGTATGTGTGTCTATGTGTAAGAGATATTAAAGAACAAAAAAGTGGGGCCATTCTTTTTAAAATTGAGGGGAATACAGTATTGAAACATTGAATGGGCAAAGTACTTTCCAAAACAAGCTGTTACTCACTGGGGAAAAAAACAGTGGTCAGGAACATATGACCAG